GGTGACCCTGCTTTGGCAGGGGGTTGGGCTGGGTGACCCACAGAGGTCCCTTCCAACCCCTACCGTGCTGTGATTCTGTACCTGCTTTATAACTCTCTGTGGGGTGTGAAGTTTCTCTCCGCACACCCCAGGCCTGCCCACTTGGCCACCGACACGCCATGAGACCCACCCTGACAGCAGACGGATCAGGGTTCGCCTTCACCGCAGTCACCAGTCGCTTTTACGGCAGCGGAATGAGTCTCGGAGGGCAGGAGTCTCTGCCCGAGCAGGGGGATCTTGGCTGGCCCAAGGCACAGTGCTGATCCCTCGCTCCGGTTCCCCTGCAGCGACGAACCGCGTGTCAGCGCAGCAGCGTGTGGGCAGAGGGGCTCGGGCACAGCCCGGCACCGTCACAGAGCCCAAATCCACCCCTCTGCAGCTCTCACGCTGCGCCGGCCTATAAAGACAATTCGCCGCTTACACAAACGCTGAAGCTTTGTTACTCTCTGCAAGGGAAAATGATGTCTGTGGGCGAAAAAGCCATTACCACAAAGGTCTGAGATGAGGAAAGGAGAATTCGGCTCTTGCCTCTCTCTGCCCCAGAGGTCTGGTGCGACGTCAGACAGGTTGCTCAGCCTCTCTCAGCACCAGAGCAGCAGATCAGAGCAGCTTCTGGGCAAACGAGATGGCAGACTCTTTGGGGCAGAGACTTTGCTTTTGGCTGTGGTCAGAGCCCATCACAGTTGGGCCCTGCACTTGGCTGGCAAATACAGACCCCAAGGGAGTTACAAAATAATAAGAAAAATTATAATGAACTGCTTGGAAACAATCAGGATTGCGATGAATGCATGCTGATTCTAAGAATTACCATATATTCATAAAATTCAGAGGTTTTTACTCTAGGAGGGCAAGATCATGACCACCACCATTTATTTTACAGCTCAACCTTGGACCGGATAAAATGGTAATCGACCTCACGGATCCAAATCGCCCCCGGTTCACATTACAGGAGCTGCGAGATGTATTGCAAGAGCGTAACCAGCTGAAAGCTCAGCTTCTTGTGGCGCAAGAGGAGCTGCAGTGCTATAAGAGGTATATCCTGAAGTCAGCAAAGAACCAGTAACAACTACTTCTTGTCTGGGGAGCTTACCGGATCAGCGTAGCAGGTTTGAGCACCTAGACTGGGCCAGGCACTCTCTAGGCATTGAAGAGACACCGGTGCTCCCAAGAGCCTACAAATGAGCAAAAAAAAATTGGGGAATGATGAAATCTCCACGCAGCAGAATGTTAAAACTCTTACTCTGTGCAGTTGGCAGCCCATGCCCGTAACTGCCCCGCCGTAAGCCCACGTACAGTCACTCCTGCTCCACATCCCAGCTGGGTTCTCATGCACGCGAGCGCATTTACGCAATGGCAGCAGGCGCAGGCGTTCTGTTCTTGCCTAAAGCCACGCCACGTACCAACGAGCACGGGGGTTTCCACCTCAGCTTTAGTCAAAATTTCCTTCCTCCTCCGGCTTGCCGTGGGGGACGCTGGCTTGCCTACGGCTCCTCTGCTCCGCAGCGGGTACGGCGCTGATCGAGAAAGCAGTCTTAGGCCCTTTCATCATCATTCAAGATAAGCTGCGGGGGTTTTTGAAGACTGCCAGCAGAGGATTGTGCACTTGAACTATGCAAAGCAAGTGCTTTCAGAGAAAGATTTTGGTCTTTCCAGAAGGGACCAGCCTGGGAGAATCCGTGCGAGCCAAAGGGTGGGATGGAGGAAGGGCCTTGCTCTCGGTGCTGCCAATTCCTTCACCTCCAAGGCTGCTCTTCCCCTCATCATCAGGTTGTAGTTTAAACTCTTTGGGGCGAGAAACTACTTAATCTAGACACAAAATGTCTGAGCACACTCGATTTCTGTCGAGATAGCTCAGCAACAACCCCTTAGATACAGTAAGCCCGCCCTTTGCCTCGTCCGTAACGGGCAGGTTCAGCCAAGAAGTCGAACTTAAATCCCAGCAGTCGGTTTACAGACTGCTTGGGAGCACTTCTCACCGCACCATCAGGCACTGCTTCCCCAGCTCGACTGCCTGCCGCTGCTGGGCGGCCCGCGCAAGCTGCTGGGCGGCCCGCGAACGGCTGCTTGCTTTGATTTCCTGGCTGTGTCGCACAGCTTGTTCCAGGACGAGTTAAAGATTAACAGTGTGAATGTTTTCAGGTTTTGTGTGACTTAAGTCACAGTGCTGTGCACCCAGAGAGGGCGTCAAGGCTGCTTTTCACTTCAAGTAATTCTGTGTGGTTGTCTCCTCATTCAGCGTTACAGCTTAAGCCAAAAACCATCCTCCCTTTAAACATTCAGAGAAAATACTGATTATAATTGTACGGCCATAAAGAGGAGCTGTGCAGGGGAATAGGATAAATACGTGTTCTAAAATGTCTTGTGTGTATTGGAAATCAGCTCTGTATAGCACCAGGTAACCGATATCCTCCCAGGGAACGGCTTAAAGTGACTTACGATGCTTGGGGGTTGCATTTTTTGTCACGATTTCTGAGTAGAAGTTACTGTGCAGACATTAGCAATCTGCAGCATCACAAACTGCTCACGGTCCCGTTTCTCTAAGAGAACCTGCCGCAGAGTGACCCTGTGCCAGATGAATGAAACACCGGGTTCTAGATGCTCTCCTTTATTTTCATTTCCAAGGTCCAGATGGGTGTTGCTTAGCTATTTCCAGCTTTCAGCTACTGCAGTCACAAGCTGTGATCCACTCAGCTCTCCAGATAAATGAGGTCAGCTCAGGACAGCAAGCTGGCAAGCTGTGAAAACATAGCGTAGTATGCGAGCTGGTAAAATCTAACCCGATTCCAGGAGGGGAAACATCCTTTGGTAAAACTGAAGCGTTTCCCTGAAGCAGGCAGTTACACCCGTGTAGTGCGTGGCAGCATCGAAGCAGGATGACAAAATCTACAGCTCAGGCAAAGCCTTTTTTTTCTCCTCTCTAGGATGGAAAGAGGAATGGGCACCTGCCTTGCAGGGAAGCTGGGAACTCCCACCTGTCCCAGCCACGCGGTGCGTGCCTTCGTGGCTGCGCTGAAGGTACCGCAGACCCACCCACGCAGAAACTCACCGTCTCTGTCTGCACCCTGCTGTTTTCTTTGGACTCTTGTACAAATCCAGCGTGTAATTACACTTCCCTTCCACTCCTGTCACGATTTGCCATTCATCCTGTGTGGAGAAGTCAGCTCATTGCTTTTTTGGTGTTCTCTTTAAAGCACAGCCTAAGCAAAACTACACTGCAGCATTTAAGGAAAAGAAGAGCAATTAATTCCAAGAAATAACCCCGGATGCCATCCCTGTCCTGCGAGCCCCCATTCACCCACATCCCAGGCCACGCAGCGAGGGTTTGACATATGCATTGCCACGCCATGCACAAACCCATGAAAAATAAACAAACCCTCTTCTCTCTTCCCAGTGGGATCATCTCACAGAGAAGGGACCAAACTGAAGAACCGGAAAAAGAGGCCAGTGGCAGCAGCCCTGCCACCAGCAAGGACACCGCAGAGAAGACGATCATCAAATGGCTGTAAGTTCGTCTGCACCTTTTTTTGGGCAGAACAGGGGAGAATAGGGCATGCTTCGTACCTGGTGAACCGGGGATGAATTCTGAACCTTGGCCTAGCTGGCTGGATATTGTTTTCTCCTCCTCTCCCTGTAAAATTAAAACACAAGAAATCCTTCCCTGTGGAAAAAGCACTCCACAGGAAGGTGACCTCCACCCAGGCTAAGTGGGGCGTCACTTTTTTCCTAGGAAAAATAAGCATTTCAGAGCAAAACTATGTGCTGCTTGCCTCCCCTGCTAGCGCATGAAGGCTCGTGTGTGGGAACACGCCAGCTGTCCCTGGAGGTTTGGTCACATTGTATGGAGCAGCTGTACGCAGTACCCACACGCTCAGGCTGCGCCCCGAAAGTTCCCCAAAATAGCAGAACGCGTCAACGCGGCCATCTGACTGCATGTTCCTGCGTTTCCAGTTGTACATTGTTTCCTTTTTGTTGCCTTTTTTTTTTTTTTCTTTTTTAGGTTCTCTTTTAAACATGGAAAATGAGTATCCTGGAGACCACTTCTGCTGAGACATGGCACTGATGAGAGCCCCTAAGGCATTAGGGGCGTCAATGATTGGAAGACAAAGCATCACTCGTACTGTAAAGGATAAGCAATCTCATAAAAATGGTGTTGTATAATATTCCTCCAGAACAGATTTTACTTTGCTGGTTTAGAAACTCTTTCAGACAGACACTTTTTGTATTTCTTAGATTCCAGCCAGATATTACCCACATGTTGAGAATAAACATTTATACAAAGATGATTTTTATTCTTATTAAAAGAGCCTGTGATGATCTGTACTACCAGTTATTTATCCTGTCCACCTATCAAAATGCTCAGCCCAGATGATTTTGCAAGATGAAGGTCTTTAAGAGCAACGTGCCATTGACAAGGGCAGTTGCAGAGAGGTGCTGGGAAGGAAGAACCCATTCAGTTTGCAGTCCCCACTGCTCTTTAGCACAAGATAATTTCTTTCTGCAAACACAGAACTGCTTGAAGAAAGCCCCAGCATCGTTTTTTGTTCTGGGTCTTTCTTTGCATTAGATGGGCGATTTGGGGGCAGCAGCCTGTCCCGCCCCAGCAAAGGAGGGCGCAGTTGGGCTGTGACAGCAGAGCCCCCGCACACGCAGGAGGGGCCGTTTGGGGCCGGGATGAAAGATGGCAGAGAAGAGCACAGCAAGGGAAGAAAAGCTGCTGCATCGTGCTCTGCCACCATGAAGGACTGATGTCTTTTCAGAGGTGCAGACATGCTCAAACTGGAACAGATGCACCAAGCATTTAATTTCTGACAGCTGTAGGTCTCCTGGGGTAGACAGTTGTATTTTTCACAAGCTCTGTTCTTTCAGTCAACTGTCACAAGCTCTGTATTAGCCCAAGTAATGAGATTTATCGCTAGTGGAAGCATACAGGGCAAACAGAGGAATAGGAAAGAAGCCTGAAATATACCAATTAGGTTCCACGTTTAGAAAAGCAGAATTTCAAGAGCAGGAAAGTCTGAACAGACATAAAAGGAGCAGTGACAGGTATCAAACTATGATCTTACTCTCTTCAGAAGTGAAAGCAGGCTCTGAAATCCTTTGATTCCCTCTCACACACTAGGCAGCATGAAAAATGTAGGACACTTCACACGTCCGCTCAGATGCACAATGCGAATGCACCTTTGCAGGTAGAACTGCAGGGTCCTTTCAGAGAGAATTTGTTAGCAATTGTATGTTAGCAAGGCAACATCAAAGCTGTCTGACCTAAGCAAGCTGGTTTAGCCAGGCACAGAACTGCTGAAGTAATTTTGCCCTCTTCAAAATACTAATAAGCCTAGGCCATGTCCCCGTGACATATTTTCTAGAGCACGGTAGCAGGGAAGGGAGTTACTGCATTTCCTTAGTAGAGGATTCGTGTTTGGGGGAGGGGGGGAACCAAACAACCCAAAAAACCCACCACAAACCCCCCCAATCAATCTACCGTGCATCAGCAGCAGCCAGGATACACCTTGGAGCTGAAGAGAGCTGTTCACATGTGCTCCGAACACCATCCTCGTCTGTGGTTTATCCAGAGATGTATTTTCCAATCTCCTTTAAAAGGCAGGCGGGAGGAGGACCTACACCCCAAAACACACCGCTCACTCTGCGGAGCCTTAATGAAACAACTTCAGGTAATAAACTGCACAGATTACACAGAGCCATGCAAAAGGAACTGCCTGCCACGGAGGCACGGAAGAGTGCAACGTAGCCCTAGGCCACTCTTTGCAGTTAGTGGAAGGAGTCAATGAAAGCTGCAATTATTCTTTTCATTTTACTATTGAAGATGTTCTTTATTAAGAAAAAAAAAAGTAGGAGTTCACCAGTTAGAGAGCACCTCAAACTTTTTGGGCAAGTCTTTTTCTGGAACCATCAGTCTCGCATCCACACTGGTGCCAGGCGGAGGAGCCGCACAGCTTTCCCTCCAAAGGGGGGCACACTTCTCGGCTGTGGCTGCACCAGCAGTGGCTGCAGTCCTGTTGGAGCAACACCGCTGCCCCGGCAAAGCCCCATGAGCCTGACGGCAGCAGTTCAGCTCCCAAGCCAAGGGCATCTTTCCCCACTAAGTGCTCTACACTTTGTTAAAAGACAAAGCCTTCCTATAAAGGCAGAGAAAAATCCAAATAGCATATTTATGTAAAAAGTATTTTGAGATCTATGAGATATATATATCAGTTCCTAGAAAAGTAAAGGATACATATCCAGTGCAACATCAGCTTTATTACCATCTTCTGATGCAGTGCTACTCAATTACCAGTTAAGCGTTTCAGAAAAGACAATTTTCTTTTCATGTAAAATAGGGAGAGATCCTTCCCCTTTCTTATTTACAAGAGTGATGCGGAAGAACGGAGGTTTTAAGCTGTTTGACCTAATACAGAGCAAACGTTTAAATAAAAAAAAACAAAAAAGAAGCATTTTATTCCAATTTTGACTTATGGGAAGTGCTCTGGTGAAACAGGATACTGTACACTGCTGTGGTCTCTGTTACCGAGACCAGAGAAAAAAAAATCCGTACCAACACAAATGAAGTCAGCCAACCAAGCTTACCTGTAACTCAGTACCTGTAAGGTAACAGGTCTCCAGTTAAATCTTCAGAAATGTTGAAAGTACACAGGCTGTCTCTGATGAGCTTGCCTTGTGTTCAGCGGTAAATAATACAAAGCATTTAACGGCTAATGATTTTCACAGCTTTCTTTCGAAATGCTAATGATCTGCAACAGAGACAGATGCTATAGCAGCCACTTCATCAATAATAAATATATTCTTTATTTTACAGAGACATTGTCTTCAAGTTTTTAATTTAAAAAATACATCACTAAGCCACCTCTCTTGCTGCTGGAGCATACAACCAGGATGTTGCTGCTATTTGACCTATCACATAGGCAAGCACGTAAGATTGTCCTAGAGGGCATCAGCTGGAACAGCAGCAGCCTTCAAGACATAAGGAACAGAAGACGTGAACAGAGCCACAGATCCCTTGCTGACATCTTCCAGCAGCAAGCGTGGCCAATGGCTCACAGCCATTTTTCATCTACACACGTGCCAAGCCTGCCTTGGCAAAAATTCCAACTGGTAAGAATTCATCTTTAACATAAAGGACCTGCATTGTATTGCCCGCCTATACCACAGATTTGGTTCTCCAACAGTAATGTCACAAACATCCGCCAGATGCCAAGCGCTCAACTCCCATTTAAGACAGTGGGACCAGACCATGCTGGACAGACCTACAGGACCAGGCAATAAGGAATCTACTTTCTTCATTGCATGAACTCCATTGTTACAGTCTGAAGCTGCATATGAAGATGACTCCTATTTTTGGAACCGCCATGCTCTACTTCAAGCATTCACAGTAAATAAATAGCTTCTGATGTGGCTAATTAGCATAGGAAGGTAATAAAAAGATTTTTGGAGAGATCTTTTACTTCTTTAAAATCCTCTGGGAGACACCTCCAAGAATCAGCCATCAACTATAAAAAGGTACCATCTTAAATTTTAGAAAATAAGTAACATCAAACATTGATTCTCACTGTGAAGTTCCGTCTTCACATTTCTAATAGTTATTAACCCAGTCTATCAAAATCCATCCTCATTTGGCTTGGAGTCATTTCTCTGAAGAAAGCAGCCAAATTTTACCATCCATTTCCCTCACCGCCAGTGCATTTAAAGTTCACTGCCACCATGAGATATGACACTGGAAAAAACTGGATCCCTACGACAAATTATTTGAGAACAATAGTAGCATCCATCTCCAAGAAGCCTGTCAGCACGGGGTTGTAAAAAGCAGTCTGACAAGCAGTCACGCCATTGGATGTACGAGTACAGAAGTATCTCTGCTGTCGTAAAGCTAACGCCAAGTTCATCGTCCCACAGAGCGGAACATGAAATTTCACTGCAAAAGCAGAAGCGCAACCCCAGTGATTAAGTTTCTGTGCAAGTCTGACTGCATGCTCAAGTGGCACTGGTCACTATGCAGAAGTATTCAAATTTTAGGGAGGGTTTCCTTTTATGATATAAAACTTTTGGCAATCTAGGTTCAATTATTCAAGCCTGCCTGGAAAACTGTAATAGGTATTTTAAATACTGCAAAGCAAAAAAGTAGTTTTTAAGGAGCTCAGAACACCATAAGCAGTCCACTAAAAGCTGAGGGAAGTGCGGACAGGGAAAAAAATTCCACTGACTCCTAGTAGAGAACTCAGTCCAAAAAAAACCAAAACCCCAAACAAAGATGAATTAGTGTTTCAGCCATGGATGAGCTTCAATGGAAGCTTTGCTTCTGTCTCCATAGTCATACAACAGTTCTTCACCCGCTTTAATGTCTCTGGAAGCTATCAGTATGAGATGAGGCACACCATCAATGTCATGAAGCTTTGTTTGACAATTGCCACATTTGCTGTGATTAATCAGTCTTCCCAGACGATTCGTTTCTTTTGTAGCATCAACACTGGAAGAACAAGAACAGAATGCAGGATTGCTGCACCTCACACAATCACATTTGTGGACAAAAACCAAACTGCAAATTAGATAAAGACGAGGAATCCACACAAGGCTTGAAAAATGAAGGAAAACCAGAACATTACAGAATATTCACACGTTTAAACAGACAGCACATAACATGGCAACGCAGGTAAACTAAAGCAATTCTGGGAGATTTTTAAGTTAGCACAAAATCCAGAAAATGGGCAACTTTGGACTATGTTTTTGAGCTGCCTGCTTCCAAGCAGCTCCCAACTGTTCATGAGGAATAGCAGAATCCAGATGTAGAACATCACCAGAAAGGCTTCATACCTTAAACACCCTCCCCTCAGGAAGGCTGCGTCCAAGCTAAATAGCATCCGCTGAGTAAGCCAGCAAGAGTCTCTACTCACATGGAAGGCTGAGAATGCCTAAATATTACATGCCCAACTTCCAGAGACCTGGATGCTGAAGCTCTAGTGCCTCTCATTGCACAAAGAATTGTTATGGCAGCGATCACTGTAGCATCCAGACTGCAATTCAGACACTCCGCATATCAGGCGCTTCAAGGTAATTAATATACAAGTTAAGTGACCCACACTCCAGTATCCAGTAATATCAGGCGAGGAGGAAAGAACACTGAGTAGTTGCTTAGAGAGGACTGGAGTTTAGGGCAAATGAAATGGCAAATAGAGTGAAAAAGCATACAGGTGGGGTGGGTGTCAGGTACCAGAGAAAGAAGACGACCCATCCAAAGACAGCTGAAGGAAACGTTACTCTTCCAGAGAGTTTGTCCATATTGCTTTTGAAATAAAATCCTTGCAACTCAAGAAAAACAGTTAATTTCACAAGTGAATGAATTTAGGTAGAAGTCCACAGCAGAGGCAGAAGTCTCATCCAAGCAGATACAAGTCTCCACATAGCTTGTGCTGTACTGCAGGGACAGGGATTTGAGTCACCTGCCCTTCCTTTTAGCCCCGAGGTACAGGAGGCTCTTGGACCACAAAAGAGTGCTCCAAAAAGATTTCCTAATTCATGGTTCCCACTATTTTTTTTTCTTTCAAGAAAACAAGACTTAGCAGCATTCAAAGCCTCTGTCACTCAACTACCACGCTTAAGGGAAGAGAAACTTACCAGTACGTTTTGCTGAGGTACTGAAAATAGTACATATAGCAGCCTGTGGATGGATCTTGAGCATACACAGCTTCTCGCTTTTTAGCATCAGTGATCTCTATGAGATCCCCATGATATTCAACTACAAATTCTCCTCGATTAAAGTGTTTAGTAGCGATTACTCCTCTCCCTTTACCATCGATGTAATCAATCTGTTGAGTTGAAAGGAAAACTAGCTAGGAAATTAGAAAGTATTTACATGCAAGTTACTAGGAAACGAGTGATTTCACATTAACAAAATGCTACAGCAGGGTATTTGTGTGTACTGCAGACAAAGCTGTAGATGCACAATGCACAACATTGTGGAAGAAATATAGGAGGAGTTCGGGACACACTCAGTTACCAGGTATTTCGATACAAAGTCTTCTAATCAAAGAACTAAGAATTACTTTAAGTAGACCACACACAGAGAAGAGTTCTCTGGTTTTCCTTTTAAACTCCGTATTAGCTGCGGCAGTAAGCTTTTCCACTTCAGGTTCACTGTCACCATTAGCATGCACAGGTTAAACAGAGGAACAGAAAAACTGATCACAAATTACACTTATCACCCACCAGAATACTTTATCATTCCTGCCTCCCCCTGTAAACTGGACAACTCCAAGAAAGTTCTCCTATTGCTGTCGTAGATGTGACAGTGTGAGCGGCAGGCTGCTGCTTTTCAAAAATCACAGCTCTCCTGCACTTCCAGGAGCCATTTCTGCTTTAAATTCTAAAAAAGGTGATCAGAGTAACCCAAACACTAAGCACCTGGTCCCAATAACTAGTATTTGCTAGCAGTGGGAGGAAAACCAGTACAACCCCTTATCCCAAGCACCATAATGAAGACCCACAGCGACTGGCTGTAAACGGGCTAAGAGAATTTGTTACCATACAGACAGTACAGAGGGTGATACCTTTAAAACACATGACGATTAAGATGCTGTATCTAACCCCACTCCTGGAAGCTAACCCAAGAAATGAGATACTAAAGGCAGCAAGTGCATTTTCAGTAAAAACTGTAAAGCCCCTTCAATATTTATGACTGAGCCTGGCCGTACATGTTCTTCAGAGCCAAATACTGCCCATCCAAAAGGAAAGACAGCACGGTCCAATTTTGCTGCACTTCCATCTTACCATGAAGGAACTGCAGCAGTTCTGAGACTGAGTTCTGCTACTTTCTACTTGAACAGAGTAACAGCAAGATACTGTCTATAAACAGTATACGGCTACTCAAGTTGGCATCAGAGTTACCTTCATTCCTTCTTCTTTCCCACTTGCAATTAGCTCATCTATTTTCCTCCTCTCCTCAGTCTGCAGAATAAATAAGAACAAATAAAACCACAGTATTGTTGATAGTTTTTTGTAGCTTATTCTATAGCTAAAGGGAAATGATTAGCCAGTAACACTCGTTTTTCTAAACCATCCCATATTTCTAGCAAAACTGCATGGTAAAGAGACAGATTTCTGCCCCTCAAAATATATAAGCAGCTAGATTCTACCCTAGAAGAACTGGATCAGCATTTCCAAATTTTAAGAATGTTCTTAACAATACTTTCAGTGTATTTGTATTTGGCCAATGGAAACCATTTACAAATAGTTATGCACTTCCTCAAACGTTCAATTCACCGGCAACGTTGTAAGTGATGTTACTTTAACAAAGAAGCACTACCTCCAATTCAGATTTGCTCTTCCTGGAACTTCTTCTAACTGGGTAATAATCTGTCACTTTCCGATTTGGTGTTCTTCCTTGCATTCTAAGGGATAAGAAAAATAGAGAACACGTGTATTTCAGACTATTTGTGAAGCGTCACCTTAGGATGGAGGCATCTGTAAGAAATTTTTATTTTCAGCTTGGTATGTTGAACAGTGATCAATATTAATCAGTGTTTCTCATCAATACTCTTCCCTTCAAGCCAGAAGCTAGATCCCCTTTTCTTCCTCACGTTATTTCCACTACTTCAGTACTAATTCTCTAACAAGAAGAATGAGATGCCATTGGAAACCAGCTGAGGTCACGTTACAAGTCTGAAGCCCCCCTGTGTGCCCTGCCAGAAGGCACTCTAAAATTTAGGTCATGAAAACTGCTTGCAAGGAATTCATTAAAGTTGGGTCACATTACTCCAATATCATGCGAAAGAGCATCAGTTCAGCCAGGAAGCCTCCAACTGTAATTAATCTAATATTCTGTTTCTGACAAGATACATTCCCATTTGTCCACAGAAAAGTAGGTCATAACGGCTCATTAATTTCTTTTTCTATAGGTGATGAGCAAGTATTTCACTTGAGATAAAGTACACTAGCCTTGCTTTCAAGAAAAACAAAAGTCCTCTGCAAGGTAGATAAACACTTTAGGCGCTGGTCTGTATTTTCAAATACATTATTCTCGAGAAAACAAAGACGTCTCCTCAAGATTTGCTCCCCTCAACATAACCATTTGCTTAAAGGCAACAAGAGTAACATTAATTACAGGTCTGACTGTAGTTCCTGAAGCAAAAATGCAGATCAAAGCCTCCTGGTGCAAAAGGACATACTGAAGAAAAGCTTTTACAATTCCAGAAGTCACTTACTTTCTCCTTGGTCCACGTTTTGCTTTAACCATCTTTTTCTGAGCTGGCTTTGCATTGGCCTCATCAGCACAGTCTGAGGGCAGAGGCATCTTTTGAGTTTCTACAGTTTCTTGCTTTTGATCAGAGAAGGGCACCGAAGCATTGCACCCACCTTCTTTATCTTTCTGGTCTTCTGATTTCATAGCACCTTCAATTATATTGCCACCATTCTTTTTTTCTGGTGACAGGAAAATAAAGTAAGGCTCTGAACTTAGGATCATCTATACCAGAGTGCTTTAAATGAATTCCAATGGTTTCTAGTCCAAGTTTCTAGTTCTGTCAAACAGGAGAAAGAGGAAGGGAATGATACAATTTCTTTCTGCTAGAACCTAGATAGGCTGTTACTCAGCTTCTGACTAGTCATTGCTACAATACACATAATACAGAGGGAGGGGTGAGCAGAGACAGGGTAAAACAGAGCCCAAGCACTTCGTCACATTAGGTTTGCAAGTCGGAGTTTTCCAAACCTGAACATGCAGCACCTTCAGTGCAGCATTTGAAACAACTGCACAGTTTGCATCTGGCATACTAAATTATCAAGTTGCCATAAGCTAATCAACATCCCGCAGTGACAAGGGAGACGAAGCCTCTCTGGATCCTGCACTACTGTGATCTGTAGCTGCGGACGCTGGTACCAAGCAGCAAACACCACTCAGACAAAATCCACAGGAGCTAAAGGGCTGGCACTTACAGGAACTCTACTCCACACACAACCAACATTTTCTTGGTTGCGTACATCCTACCTTGACATGACCACATCCTCCTGCTCAACCAACTGATTTAGAGGTAGGTGAGCATCACTTAAAGCTGAATAAGGTTTTTATTTAAAGCCCATCACCAGGTTTAACAGTCCCATCTGCTGAGACAGATGCTTCAGCCTCACTGGAGAAATGAAGCACAGCTGCAAGGCCACAGCAGTGGGACAAGCTAAAGCCATCTTCACTTGTCAAAATTGGAGAGCTAAACTAGGAGCTAAAGGCCTTAAGTTTCCAGAAAACCTGGCACTCCCTGTGTTGAGTAGGACTTAAAACACCTGCTTGCTAAAAGGGTTTGTGTCAAAATACTTTGACAAATTACTAAGGTTGTTAAATGCACTTTTAAAACACAAGCCAGGTTTTTTTTGCCCCCCTCCATAAACTCCTGGAACATTCCCACTCCTAGTTACTACAATGAAGCATCTACACAGCCTGGCACTCAGCATCCACAGTCTGTGCTCCTCCTTCTCACTGCCTTTGTTTCATCCTGAATATTTAAGAATTGTTTCTTCTTCTACTAGTACCTCTACCTTGTACCTGATTTGACTTTGAATTGTCTTTATATAAACAAGTATAAGTAGTCAAATTATAGAATAAACCAGTTTTAGGTAATAAAACAGACCAACAAAGTAATTAGGAAACTGCCAAACACTGACCTGAATAAACAGAGTAGTAACAGAATTGCAGGGAGATTAGGGCATATCGACAAGGCAAGTATTAGCTTTTTATACCCAGGGAGACAATACAAACATAGCTAGACAAAAAACAGAGGAAAATTGCCTGGTAAACCTATAACCTGAGTTTTGAACAGGACAAGGACACCCTTGTCTTTGTAGAGTCCCAGTCTGCCAACAGAGTTGTAGGACTGGGAAAGCAACTGGGTCAAGGGAGCTGCCTGGCCTTCTTGACCATGTATTGAAGTCTTCAAACTGGGGGTGGAGGGAGCACATTTAATGAGGCAACCAATCCAAAGATCAATCTTACCATCTCCTTTCCTGTAGGTTTCATTTAGTGTTTTGCCCTGACATTTCACCTCGTGATACATGACAGAGTTTTCTTCTTGAAGCGGGGGGCGAGCACCAGGAGTTTTGTTAGGGTTCAGGTAGCTGTAGATTTTGGATTGACCAATAAACACATTCTCCTAGAACAGACCCACACAAAAAATCAGTACATCACGCTGACAACTGACCACGCTCATGCAAGTTACACCGCTTTAGTGCGACACCCTTGCTCTGTGGCTATTTCTACTAAGCGGAAACAAAATGGTGGTAAGCACTCAGAGAGCTTTGCTAATGCAAACTCTCCGTCCAAGAGGACTTTCATATGCAGTGTGGCAGGATGGGGTAGTCATAACCAAGTCCAGCTTTCACCCTCTGCTTCACAGTATGAACTCTGGTGCTAAAAAAAAAAACCAACCCTGAGCTCCTCAGGAAGAAGGCGGCCTCAAAGAGTGCAAGCCAAAAAAAACACTAATAACACAGCAAAAATTGCCCAAGCCTAGAACATAGCCCTCATAGCCACAGAGGTATGAGCTTACCCAAACGCTCTCATGAGGTGTCAAATGTTACTGCAGTTAATTATATGCTCTACTGGGCAACGCAGAAGACAGCAATCAGTTTTGCACAGTCTACCTTGAATGACACCTCGCAGTGAAGTCTGGGAGATAAACAACACTATCTTTTCATCCACTATATTTCACTAAATCGAGTGTAAAAGTCGTTCATGGTAAAAGAAATATTAAAGAGTCTACACAAAGCACTTATGCCCAGCCGGGAAAATGGTAAAACCCTCTGGCATGGTCAAACACCAGAGACCAGAGTCCGTACACTGGCTTGGGCTCAAAGAAATCAGCAGTGAGCAGTATCAAATTTACCAAAGTTTAGTGGAGTCGTGTCACCTTTGCTTTTACCGCCTCCTGCCACCTCGCCAAGCATGACTACACAGCATGTGTAGGGCACACAGATTTCAACTGCGAAATCTCAGTGTCTGGACAAGCAGATGCAGCTTGGCCGGAATGAGTTTGTCTTGGCTGTATTTTGACTCAACTAAAAGCAATTTTCAGACATTGCAAGCCAGTTCAAGCAACAAAAACATGCATCCATTTTTTTAGAAAAGCATACAAAGGTTCCAATTAGTTAAAAAATAGCTCAAATATAGGTGACTAAACAAATACTCCAGTATATGTAGTCACACAAACAGTAAAAGAAGTAAACAAAGCACACAATAGAATACATAGGATAATTTTAATAATTAGCATAATCATGAATAACAAACTTAATGCGTACATAATTCACACACAAAATAAGACCAGTTAAAGGCTCAAATCTCAGTCCACAAATAAACTTTACTACAGATTACAGTAGAACAGCCTGAGAAAAAGCCAGTCAGTTAGACACTCCCTGAGCCCCAATATTTCCAAAAGGCCTATGAAAGAGATTACTTGCTTATTAAAAAAAAAAAAAAAATGGGGCTTTTAAGGATGAAACACTATGAAAGCACTTCATTTTAAGAATCGCAAACAGCAAACCCTGCACTGCAAAGTTCTCAAGATTTAGTGAAGAGTTTAAAGCCGGGTGTTTCCGGAGCAAGGCAGCAGCAGCGAAGTGCAGCAGTCCACCTGCCAGCACAGCCTTCTGGCTCTCAACACACCCTTAACAGGAAACCAACAACTAGTTTTCCAGCGTAGCTTCCTCCCCTCATTCCCAGCTCCCTGCCTGCTGCGCTCTTGGCGCAACCAAGACGTGGCTGCCACGTCTTTGTCTGTGCCAGGCTTGAGACCCTCGCGAGCAGCGGTTTTCTCGGCACAGCAGAGCACACGAAGGGCTGCTGAGGAGCTCGGGAGTTTGATGCAATATCCACGATTATTTCCATGGCATGGAGGGATTGCCGAGCCCAGGGCCTGGCTGCTCGCTGACAGCCGCGGCAGCGCCCTGCGCTTGCAGGGCAGCT